TCAAACTGGATCGTCCAGCGTTTTTAAGTTACCGAATCATTCAAAGACTGACCTAATAAAAAACAGGGATTAAAGAAAAGTGAACACAGTTACGCGTGAAAATCATTGGTATCAGAGTGTAAGTTGCGTACCACGCAAGCCGCGCCGCTACCGTATCGCAAGGTCCTCCGGGCTTAAGCGCATATGTTTCACGGGAGTCTCGACATGGCCCATGGAGCGAAACGCCGCCGAGGCGGCTTGGGAAGAAGCAAAAAAAATAAGTCATCGTCCAACCGCGCCAACCGTCCAAATCGCGCCACGTTGGGCGGGCGAAAAAGCAGTAGATGGCGTATCGCGATTATGCGCTGGCGAAAAAACACCACCGGCCCCGCGAGAAGCTAGTGTTTGTGACGGCGGTTTTTGGTGAGAACGCTCGTCGATACGTACCAAAAATTCCTTTCGCACGCAACCGCCGAGGCTCTTCGCCCAACCGCCAGTGCGATAAGCGTATCGAAAGCTTCTCCCGAACCGCCGCGTTTCAGAGAAACGCCGGACCGCCAGAAATGTGAACAAGCTAAAAAAGTTTCCGCGATTCAGGTTATCTGCAGAACGCCTCCGTGCATTCGGCATCCGACTGCTCGCCCAAACACCCCGGAAAAATGCCGACGAGTCTTCCGGGCCGCAAAGTCGTCCAGTTCGTTGTGGGAGATTGTGCGAGGATCGCTTTGTTTGCGATCACTACGTAATATTTTGGAACGCTTCGGAAGCTGAATGCAAAGTGATACGTAAGCCGCAAGCGAAAGCGCGGCGCGCTTTCATGTTTTGGTATGACTCACGCTAGGCTTTTCAGGCGTGGGCGGCGCCAAGCAGGACGATGCGAGGAGTTCGAGCCGCGTTCTAGGTCCGGGCCTGCAGCCCGTTGTCCGGCCAGCTTCCCTGAGGGCCGATGCCCCCCACGTTACCAAGAACACCACGATCTAATTTTTGCCTCTCGTTTGCCTATATTAGACTTGCCTTGTATACATTATTTCGATCGCCTTTTTGTAATTCCTTTATTCCTGTAAACCTAGTTCCATATTCTTGATCTCCTTTTATGTCTTTACAGATAACTTTAGTTAACAAGCAACCTAGAGTTATCAACAAGAAGTAAGGTGTTAGCACGGGCGCGTAGCTAACTGATACTGGAGATAGCGCATTCGCCCGGAAAGCGTGAGGTGCGGGTTTGACTCCCGCCTGAGGCACGACTTTTGTCCACAACTAAGCATTCTTGTAATAGCTCTTACCTGTGTTTTCCTTCCCCTTCCGCAAGTGAACGAGAGCAGCCCGAGCACGTACATACCTGGCTGCTGGAGCCAATCTTAGCCGTGCGGAAGCTCCGGAGCCCAACCACGCAGCCAGAAGCAGTATGCACTTAGCAAAGCACGAAGCTGATTTCTCAGTATAGTTAGCTAGCGCCCGGTGCTAATCACCTACTTCTGTGATACTCTAGGTGCTTGTTTAATAAAGTTATCTGTAAAGACATAAAAGGAGATCAAGAATATGGAATAGGTTACAGGTAATAAAGGAATTACAAAAGGCATACGAAATAATGTATACAAGGCAACGTTATAAGGCAAACAGAGGCAAAAATAGAGATCGTGTGTTCTTGGTAACGGGGGCATCGCCCTCAGGGAAGCTGGCAGGAACGGGCTGCAGGCTCCGGACCTAGCAGACGGTCGACTCCTCGCATCGTCCTGCTGGCGTCGCGCCACGCCCTGAAAAGCTAGCGTGAGTCATACCAAAACATGAAAGCGCCGCGCTTTCGGCGCGGCTTACAGTACTCACTTTCATCAGCTTCCGAAGCGCTCCCAAAATATTAACTATGATCGCAAAAAAGCGATCCTCGCAAATCTCCCACAACGAACTGGACGACTTGCGCCCGAAGACTCGTCCGGCATTTTTCCGGGTGTTTGGGCGACAGTCGGATGCCGAATGCACGGAGGCGTTCTGCAGATAACCTGATCGCGGAAACTTTCTTTAGGCATTGTTCACACTCTGCGGTCCAGCGTTTCTCTGAAACGCGGCGGTTCGGAGAAGCTTTCGATACGTATCGACTGGCGGTTGGGCGAAGAGCCTGGCGGTTGGGCGAAAGGGTTTTGGTACGTATCGACGAGCGTTTCACCAAACCGCAACGTCACAAAACGCTAGCTTCATCGCGGTGGTGTTTTTCGCCAGCGAAATCGATACGCATCTACTGCTTTTCGCCCGCCCAACCGTGGCGGTTGGACGGTTGGGCGGTTGGACGATGACTATTTTTTTTGCTTCTCTCCCAACCGCCGTTTCGTCAGGGCCAGGAGACTGTGAACAATGCTTTAAGCCCGAGGACTTGGCGTACGGTAGCCGCTTGCGGTACGCAATTACACTCTGATACAAGGAATTTTCACGTAACGTGTTCAGTTTCTTAATCCGTTTTTATTAGGTCAGTCTTTGAATGATTCGGTAACTTAAACGCTGGAGCATTCCAGTTTGAGTGCTTGTGCCGATTTGCTTATTAGCATGCTCTAAGGAGTGGTCTCTGCGACATTCTTCATCAAGGAAACTTTTGTGTTCTTCCTCATTTGGTCGTTAGATTGTTCACAAAACTGTATGTGCGTTTGGCAACTTTGCAGATAATCGAGAATGGGTGATTCTCGACTGAATCACCTTGGCAGTGTTCTCGAGTCAAAAAACGCTACATTACGGCGAGAAGCTGCGGTAGCATTCGGAAAATATTGCCTTTCGGACGATAAAGTGGCCGAGGTGAGGTTCAAATAAATAGCCTAGTAACGATAAAGCATTCTGAAAGAAGCTATCCAGATCCTCTTGAAATACATTTGTTCGACGTCATGGGATGCACGTGTAGCGGCTGCCGATGCTCTTCATTGTCTTCTGAAGAACATGGAGGCTTTCACTGGAAAGGTTGAAGAGGTTCCTGTCAGCGCTTCGCTACGTGACATTGAAGCAGCTCACGTTCTGAAGACGTATAAACCGTTGTTAAGGTGATGTTTTGTCTTCTTAACTTTCCTAAGTGTTTACTTCCGCTCTCTCCATTATTCGTTAGTATTCATGCACTAGGTCTTTTCTTGTTGGTTACTAAACTTAACGTCCTAATATAAAATAAGTATTCCGACATTATCGCCTTATCAAGGGTATTTCGAGCTCAGGAGATGAATATTACCCTCTAGCACCTCGCACGTTTCAACTTTTCAAGCATGATATAAGGCTTACCTAGCTTGGAACCTCCCCTCGGACGCCGCAGCCTTAATCGCCATATGTTTTTTCGTACTTTTAACGCTTAGACTACGTTCTTTCGTTGCGGCAGCGTCCATCATCGCCCAGTAGCGTACAGCAGCGTTTCGAGTGAACGCCAGCAACTGGGAAATTATACATGGATACCGAGTTCTCCAGTGCCCACCAGCGTTTTCGCGAGTAGTTTTGCTCAAGTTCAAAAGTACCCTCAAAAACGCTCCTGCACGCTGGTGGGTGCTAGTGAGCGCTGGCATTTGTATATCGATACTTATACTTCCCTATTCCCTCAAGACGCTAGCGTACGCTGGTGAACGCTGGTTCACGCCGGCGTTTGCTAGATCGATATCTATGCTTTACTAGTCGCTGGCCTGGCATATGCTTGAAACGCTGCCGTACGCTGGGGTGGGTGCTGCTGGACGCAGCCGCAAAATGAACGCATACTTAATCAGCCGCTCCATCTGGCCCCCAAATTAATGACGTGCCCAAACACTATGCCTTCAAGCGCCAGTTCCGCTCAAGCAGATGCGATGGTCATAGCTCAAAGATTTTGCTGACGCAAAGTGTACACTCGCTTAGGTTCACTCATAGGGGGAGAAACCGCTACCGCCGAAGAACTCACTGAAGTAGCTCATGAACTCGCAGTACACACTTCGTCTTATATTACTCAACAGTCGCGTAGATGGGTTACATGGAACCTGGGTTTAAGTGCACTTCCGTTTGTTTATGACGCAGTTTCAGTCCTCTTATTTCGAAGAAAATGGTAGAAGAGAGATTAATTCATTCTGATTTGAACAAGCATGTGCTTGCCGAACAGAAAAAACATAATTGAATGGAAATCGAGCCCTCATTGCTCCGCTTTCATAGATACTGGTGAATCGTAGAATGAAAAAATGTGTGCCAAAGAATTAGTAGGCATTGATTGTCTCCTCCCTCTAACGAGTCAGGAGTCCGCAGGCGTGTACTCTCCCATTTTCCTATTCTCCACTAGTTATCCTTTCCTCTGCACGCTTTCAATCCTCCGTTCCCCTTTTCTCAGGACCTTTCATTCCGCTGTCCAGTGTCGCAGACTTTTAACGCGGCCTCAAATAAGCTAATGTCGCCGCTATCAGTCGGTGGTGTCAAGACAGGTCGAGCCCGCCTACGGCGTTTTCACCACTGGCTCATTCCTTCGTAAACTGATCAATATCCCATCACTTTTGGTAGCGGGTGCGATCACCCCCCTCTTCCCACTCTCGCCCCCCTCCCTCCTGACACCGCTTCGGCTGAGCGAAGATCAATTATATGCGCAGCAATCACGACGCGCAACTATGAAAATGCAGTATATGGTACGGAGTACGGATTCGTGGTACGAGTAGTATATTCGAATTGCGGTTGGCCAGAGTTTTCCATGTACGCTCGCATCAGTTATTAAGCCTTGTTGTCGTTCCTGCATTCTCTACGAAACTTCCACGAAGTTGCTAGGCTTCTTTCGTGGAACTGTTGATTATCCGGGCTACTGTATAAAGCTGCTTTGGCTTCCTTTACTCATTGCACATTCCCGGAGCAACTCGTGCGTCGGGAGCAAAAATGACCAGAAGTATAAACATTGCAAAAAAGGCCGCTTTATGTAAGAGAAGTTGTATTTCGCCGTCAGGATTATTTCGTGAGGAGCTGTTATGATTTCTGCTTGTTGTTGAATGCTCTCACTTTCGCGGTTTTCAGTGACGATGGAGCAGCTCTCAGTGCGAGCACATCCGGGATACGAGTGAGCGCCCAGCAGCAACGGCAGCTACTTGACCAGCATCTTGACATGAGCGCTGCCATAGGTGTTACCTCAGTAAGTCACATTCTTCGTTGTGTTGAGACTTGTTCGAATTCTTCGTGCGTACCCATTGTGGTCTTCGTCATCTTGTTGTTTTTACGTGAGCGACAGGACCCTTTCGTTGTTGAAAGCACACCCCGTGTTCATTTGATGCATGGATGATTCCTTTGGACATGGTTGTCCTGTCAGCAAGCATACAGCATATACTACTTACTTTCGCAATCCAAAAATGATTAGGAGAGCGCAACTCGCTCACGGCGTGGCCTCGTGCCCACCCACTCGCTGCATCAACGCCCACCTATCATTAGGAAAGCTTCATGGTGGCGCAGTTGCTCCACTACTAACTCTCTCCATTTCGAATAGTGAAGGAGCAAGAGCTGGCACCAACATACCATACCCTTTCTTCGCCTTATACATGTACACCATTCAGCATGGGGTTCTATATGAGACATTTCGGGCAGATTTTCCCAGCGTTTTTCTTCACGTTTGTGTTACTTAACATCCTGTAATCAGTATATGAGCGGCAAAACTCACTTTTTTGAAGCGGGGGCGTGCCTTTGACCACGTTTGCTTTGCATGACTAGGTAGTGCATTGTGTTCGAGAAGCCATGTTCTAATCACTTTTCAGATTTGTTGAGCTGACGGTTCTGTATAGGTGCACAACTCGTAACGTTTTCTTACTTCAGGCAGGTTTTGTCAACGATCTCGATATTTTACCTCGGAGTAGTAGCAATTCTCCGCGGCATGAAGCTGAAGAAGTATGCGTCGACTTTTCGACTTTGTGCAGAACTAATCTTCTTCTGTACATTCCTTTCAGCTCCTTACCACCGACTGCTCCAAACTAAACGCTGAGGTTAAAGTGGAAGCTTTCGAAGACACTGATAGAATTGAACTTTCTTCTCAGATTGCGTTCTTGAAGTTTTTTTGCAGGTAAGAGTTTGTTTTGTTTGATTTTTCCAGTTTTTGTTTTCATATAAATGGCGACGCAGTTAGCTTACGGTATTGTATTCTTGTCAATCATTTTTAGACTTCTACCTTTACTGGCCGATCAACGATGGCAGTGTAGGCATGGTGCAGCAATAACGATAGCCAAAATATTATCTACTTCATATTCCAGGTGAAACTTAGTCCGATGTACCAGTTTATATGCTAGCACTTTGACCGCTTTGCCATCTTCACAACTTTTTGTGTGCCTGCTCTGACCTCCTTGGGCTGCGTTCTTACTTTGCGTTAACGTACGTCAGCGTTTCGAGCATACCACATCGCCAGCAAGTAGGAATGAGTAGATATTGATCTAGCGAGCAATAGGGTATGCCAACGTTTTCGCAGTTTCAGGGGCAGTTTGAGTTTGAGCAAAACTGCCCGCGGAAACGCTGGCGTACGCTAGATCGATACCTATAATTGCTACTGCTGGTACTGGCGTACTCTCGAAACGCTTGCGTGCGCTGACGCAAAGTATGAGCGACCTTGCTCCAAGGTTCCAGGAGAGATGCGTGTGAGAAAGGAGAAGCTGTACTCCTGATTACTCCCAAAATTCTCGAAAATGTTGATAGGTTCTGTGCCTTTTCTCCACAGCGTGCATTGTACAGCTCCCTGTGTATAGTTTGAACAGTTTTCGAGTTATACTTCGTTCTTCTTTAGGATACCTCTTCCTCTTGTCGATTCATGCGCTTTACAACTACTTCATGTTTTAATTCTTGATCAGTTCAACGATTTTGTCTCAGGTAATTCAATCTGCTCTTTGTTTCACTGGGAAAGCGCCAGATTTATTGGTTGTCCTTACTTCATAAGAAACTGTGTGTCTGTCAATATTTCAAGGTCGCACAGCCACAGCTCCAGTCCGAGAAACTTGTGCCCAGGCTTGGGTCATTTTCTACATAAAACCGACTCGGAGCGACGAGCAGTTATCCTAGCTCAGCTCCGTGTTCTACTGCTAATGCAGGGAGAACGGGTGAGTCATACTCTACAATCCTTCGCTGAGGTATAATTTTGTTTATTATAATGTAGGAGCTGATATTGCAGAACTGGCACGTGTAGGCAAAGTGCTCTACTTTGTATTTAAATATTTCTTTGCTGTCAACTTCTTCTGGCGACTTTCTGACTGCTTTAATTCGGTGGTGAAAAGCTTGGACATACAGTTGATGACGTGAGGTTTTTTCAACGGAACTATTCCTTCCACTGTCCATCTATACCTGTCCCTGTTGTTGAAGTTGTTATCTGCGCGGTTGTGTGTATATGTTTCGTAAGCACTTATATCTTCCCTTGTTGTCCAACCCAATGGTGCATGAAGAACACGTTCTCAACCTTGATTCTCTCAGCAAGCATGTCTAATGTGTGGCAGTTGCCTAAACAAGAGGCTAAATGAGGTAATGTGTGTGTGTGTAGGTGATCATTTGATCGGCTGTTTTTGCGACTATTCGAATAATGGTTCGTCGCAGCTTCGGCTCTGGCGGACGGCTTAGCGTTAGACTTGTGATTAGCCACTAGGTAGAGACGTTTGGCTGCGGCTAGAGAAAAAGAGTGTGTGGTGCTTTCCGGCGGGGTTGTGTGTATCTGTTATCTACACATTGTGCAGTTCATGCTATCGCTCTTACCTACTTTTCATTTTGATATTTAGGACTGGAAAGCCCAATGACGGATTATCGAGCCAAATGCAAAACATTTCAATCACATTCCAAGAGCTTCGATTAGAAGCATGCCAGACTTGGCCCGACAGCCACCCTCTATTTCACATAGGCATGGATTTTTTGGAAATCTTATTATACGAACTTGCTGATCTGAGTTAGTTTTTTTTCCACGATTTGTTACTTCGGCACTTTACACGCTCAATCTGTTGCAAATTTTCTGGCGACTTTCATGATTGCTTTAATTTGGTGAAAAGCTTGGACGATACAGTTGATGACGTGAGTTTTTCAACGGGACAGTCCTTCCACTGTCATTATACTGTCCCGTTGTTGTTGTTGAAGGTTGTATCCTGCGCCGTAACGACTTTATCTTCCTTGTTGTCCAACCAATGGTAGATGAAGAACGTTCTAACCTTGTTAGCAAGTCATGTCTAATGTGTGCAGTTGCTAGAACAAGAGTCTAAAAAGGAGCAGGTTCCTCGTAATCATTGATCGCTGCTCTTTCAGCTATCGAATAATGTTCGTTTCAGCTTCGCTCTGGATGGAACGCTTAGCTGTAAGATTGATTAGCATAGTAGAGACTTGGAATGCGGCTAGAAGAAAATGTTGTGCTTTTCCGGTATTGTTATCTACCACTATTCAGTTCATTGCTATCTCTATATTATTTTACGACTTGAAAGCAAATGTACGAATTTTTCGAGCAAATGCAAAACATTTCGAATCAAATTCAAGACTTGATTAAACATGCCAGACTTGGCCCGACAGCCACCCCCTTATTTCAGCATAGGCATGACTTTTGAATCTTATTCTACAACTTCTGCATTTTTTAGTTTTTTGGACATTTGTTACTTTGCACTTACACGTACATGGGAAGACTGTTGACACGCGGGTGACTCAGCCGAATTTTCGAAAAATTGATTCAAATTTCAAATCCATACTTTTTTTGAGACATTAATTCCACATCTACTCTTCACGCAACAAAGATACTCATAAGCGCGTATCTACGCACTGGGACATAAGGCCCGCTCCATTTTGCAAAATGATGCAGTGAACGGCTTTATTCACGTCCGCAGCATCTTTTTGCAAAATTTGCACCAGTTTGCAAAATTTTGCAGAAAGGATAATTCTTCGAAATTTTCACATTTTTGGACTGGTGCAGGGAGCCCCGCCAATTGTGGCCAGGTTAACCACTTCCGTAGAAGCCCAGCCCATTTTTCAAAAGTGCCTCAAGTCAGCAGGTTAGTGCCTCAAATTGTAGGTAAGTGAGTCGCTCGTCACATGTAACGAAAAAACAGACAACAAGCTAAACTTGCTAGTTTTTCTTTTTTTTGACGAGTAAGTCTGACCTATAATTTGAGACCCGAATCTGCTGATTTGACGAACCTTTTTCAAGGGTGAAAGAGAGTTGGGCATAGCTCCTCATAGTGGGCGGAGCTTCCTGTAGCAGTCCGAAAATGTAAAAATTTTGAAGAAATATGAAAGTTTCACATAAGGTTGCATGTGGGCGTAACTAGGGTAACGTGTCATTGCATAAATGCGTGGCTATGAGTACCTTTGTTGTGTGAAGAGTAGCTGTAGAATTAGCGAGGTTGAAAAAAATATGAAAATTTGAAATTGGAAGCAAATTTTTCAAATATTCGGCTGAGTCGAATTTTTTCTCCGTCGCGTATCGATGGGCAGTCCTTTCCAGTCAGTATGTGCGAGGTTATAAATCTGCAAAAAAGTCACTGAAGCAGAAGTTATAGAATAAAATCCCAAAAATCATATCCACGCTGAAGTGTGGGCGTGGCTGTCGTGTAGGATCCTGCACTAGTGCCTAGTTTGTCATGTTCAACCGATCCTTGAATTTGGTTTGTAAATTCATGTACTTATAATGAAAATGGTATATACCATTCACATTGTTCACCTCATAATATTTAAAGCATTCTGCCATAAAAAAATCTGAAGAAAAGCTGACATGCGGCATGTGTCTGATAAGTTTGTAATGGGAAGGTTTTCTTGCAGAGAACAGATTATGATCATTGTAAGTATGCTTGATGAGCAGTTTCAATCGAGATCGCAGAAGATCGTTACTCTTCTCTTTACAGCTTTTAAACGAGACTCAGGGGTGTTAAACAGTGAAGTGAGTTGCATTGGCTGTAAATGGTTGTGCAGTGAATTTCTTTAGCATGTGTAATTCAGAATATATTTTAGGATATTCTAATGATTTTGAAGTTATTTTATCGTGTTTTTTTGTTCTCTGCACCAGCTAATGACATGTTATTATTAGAGAACGTTTATATTACATCGAAGATGCTTATAGCAAATTATGGGTGCGTTTTCCACTTCTTTTTCTGTACAGCTGATCCCATTCGGCTCTGGCTGTTTCAGGTCGATATTGGTCAAATCGAGGGTACTTTTGGATAAAATAGGACCTTGGGCAGGATGTCTGCTTTTGGATCATCGAAGTGCTGTCATAGGTCAGTTTAAAGAAATTTTCTACGTTTCTTGTTATATTTCTAACCACTACTCTGAGCTTCACTGCTTGCTTGCGTGGTATGGTGAGGGTATGAGCCTTGCCTTCTTTAGTGCTACCCTCCTGCTAAATTTTCAAACATTTTTGTCCTAATTTTATGTTCTGATACACAAGTGTAACTTTTGGTGAAAGTCGACTTACACATAAGTGCGGCCTGCATCAGACAAAAGATTAGTTTAAAAGTTGGCACTATTCACTTATTCACTGCCCCAGTCTTCCGGAATCAAACCAGTTTTTTCTTATCGACTTTTCCACGAGCATATTCAGCTGGGATTTTGTCCACGCTGGTACTTCGACCTTCTTATATCGAATATCGCATCCAATTGACACGAAACCGCCTCACAACCGCGCAACAAGCACCACCGCCAACTACGCTGAATCACCCAATTCGCTGAAAATTGTCCCAGGAGTAGTTTGACCTGAACACAAATAACACTTTCACTTGGAACGAAACCGCTAGTCGCTTGTGTTAGGCTCCTTTCATACTTCTGGCTAGCGTATGCCAGCGTACGCCAGTGTTCCGAGCAACTAGGAAAGTATAGATATCGATCCAGCCTTCCAGCGTAAAGCGTCCACCAGGACGGGGTGTACCGGGAAGTAGAAGGATAATGCTGGCTAGGGCGTCGTGAAGTTGGGTTGGGTGCACCCGCCCGGTACTAGTGCTAAAGCATAGAATTATGTTGTCATTATGTACAGGCAGTGCAGTTGCACCATGCGGATGCACGTGCCGTGGTTTCACGACCCCTACTCTAAAAGTCCGCTACCCTCCTTGCTCTCCACTCCTGGTCTCCTTTGGCATACGCTGGCGTACGCTAGATCGATACCCATACTTTCAAATTCGCTCAACATTGCTCTACGCTGGAATACGCTGGCGTGCGCTAGATCGATATCTATCCTTTCCTTGTCACTGCCGCTGCCGAACGCTGAAAACGATAGCGTACGCTGCCGCAAATTATGAACGCAGCCTCATGGATATTTGACGCTGGTGGGTGTGCGACTCTTGAAAGTGAATTTCCTGAAAACACTGCGTATGGTGCTCCACAGCATGAACTAAACGAAAAGCATAAAACTGCAAGCTATCGTCGGACTTTAAAGGCAGCGCCCCCGTTCATTTGTTGTTCTCACGCCCTCTCTGGGTCTAGTAGCTCCCCCTATGAGGATGGTGGACGTGCATGTTTGGCAACCCAAAAATGCGACGGAACAGCGGCGTCCGCCCGCAAAGAACCGACGGCTCCGCCCACCTGCCGACCACGCCACCCAACTTCATTTCTAGTGGTTGCCTGATGGTGCGGTTGTTCCATTGCTGCTTCTCTCCACGTCGTGTGGTGAGAGTGAGGTAATAAGGGGAAACAGCTGAAATCAACAGGTGAAAACTAGTGCAACCACTCCTTCTCTTCGCCTTGAGCACGTACAACAGTTGTTCGGTATGAAACTCCTTCTAGGGCATTTTACGTGTTTTCTCTTTGATTTTTCTTCACTAATAGGCTTCTTGCTACCACGCTGTTACTACCTGAGCTGCATACTCATTAAATTTGAACGCGGGCGCTGCCTTTAATGCTGCTGTTAATATTGTTAACGATAATATATCCAAATTTGATGGCAGCCTTTCCTGAACTTGCTCTCCAGGTTATGTGCTGCAGAATCTGAAGAGCCTACAAAAGCTGTTTCAGCCTCTACAGCATAAATTAGAAGCTCAAATCCTTGAGCTATGTAAGAAAATATATTCAGTCTCAGTCCAGAACCATTCCTTTAATTTGCAGATGTTTTCACTTACTGCGTTGATTCTCGAGCAAGCACACGTGATGATCCGTTGGAGAGAATGGCTAGCGAAGAAGTGCGGTGTCTCACAGATAAGTACGTCTTTCGCTAGGTCCTTAAGTTCGCCATGGTTTGTAGTTGATGTATTTCAACAAAATTTTCAAGGAAAGTATAAAACCAACATCTGCATTTACAGGGAAAAAGATGACGTCTACATAACTCGCAAGATAATCGCCGCGAAATTTCTTGCCACTATTATTCATTTGCATTACGAAAGTGGAATAGAAGTAGATGGCCAACCGGTGTAAGTTATGTTTGGAATTCATTCAGGTCACATTGCGGAAGTAATTTCTTCTTTTTCAGAACTGAAGCAATACAACTCTTGTTTGTTCCTTTCTTGCGGTCTAATCTGCTGTACCACAATCTTGGCGCCGCTGTCATTTTGAATGAATGGGCTGCTGTATATAGAGATTCTCTGAATAAGTGCGCATTCCGGCTTTTCTTTCTCATCATGTAGAGACCAGGACCGGGAACCTGATCGGTCACATTATTAGGATTAAGTTTGCCGAATGCTTATATTGTGATAGCTCAGGCGTGGATCAGATCAACGTATATTTATTACATACTTCCCTTCTTTCTTTTTCCTACTGAAGGAATCATTTCACATAGCACTTGTTTGAATAACATGTAGTATTCACTGCGCCGCAGTTAGTCATTTCTTTCAGAGGCGTACAGATTGACGCTCCCGTCACTATTCTTCAGATTTGCGATGCGTTTCTGCGAGCTCCTACCAAGAACTATGACGAACTTGCCTCGGCAGTCAATCATCTCACGATGGTTAGTGAACAAATTCTGTGATTTTCTAGATCTCATTGCTTTCCGTTCTTGGAAGCAACTCCCGCGCCTCAAAACTGGTGAGTTATGCGGCTCAAATAACAGTGGAAATGTGGTAAACAACCAAAAATGAAGAACAAAGTAGACTAAACCCGCCCGAAATGCCCTAATAACACCACATGCCAAATCGCGCTTGTTCGTGCTCATAATAATTCTCACTTCTTGGTGTCAGCTCTTTCTCCTTATCATTTTGCTCTCCTATTGGACATTTGAAGAGTTTGTAACGGAACAACCGCACCACCAGGATGCTCTTAGAACCCAAAAATGAGGTTGCCGTGGTCAGCAGGCGGGGGTGTGGCTTCATCGCGAACGGGTCGCACTTTCTTCACGTATCATCGGATGTGGAACATCTTGCATGCTCACGAACAGGACTACCTTGTCCACAGAAAGCGTCTGAACATTGAAGAAAGGCGAAGCATGCCTTCAAAGACAGTTCCCGCGATCAATTGGTTCGCGAAATGCCTCCGTGCATTTGGCATTGTTGTCCGCATTCCCAGAGAATATACCACTTTCCTCACTCGAAACGGCGAGATACAGTAGTTAGAGACGCCTTATTATTGCAGCCATTGCAATCACGATTACTTTCACTCTGCAAGACAATTGCTTACAAGCGGAATAGCGTGTGTACATGGCGTTGCCTGCAGCGTCGTAGGGTGATTTCCCCGTACTCTTGCGATGCATTGGCTGCACGTCAAGTCCTTCTGATTGGGCTCACCGACGTTCGTCAAACTTGTCCAGGGCGCCCACACCTAAGGGGAGTCTCTGTTCACAATGTTCCCGAGGGTTTTTTTTCGCTTCTTAGTGAGCTACATAAGGGATCGTGGTCCATACTGAACACCTGCTACCCCATTACACGTAATCGCTGAATTTAACTTTGAACGCTCAGGAATCGTCTCCCTGTCAGAGCAGAGTGTTTTTACAGAGACTTGAGACCTCTCCTATGTCTTTTTCTAAATCTGGAAGTTACCGGCACCAAAATAAAATTCTTCAACAAACTGCAGAGTAACAGTAAGAATCATCTGGTATTCACCAATCCGCTGATTCTATGGCGATTGTTTGAGAGTCATAATAATCATAATCCCTCTCACATATAAGTCTCTCTTGACTCCCCATCTCTTTCACTTTCACGAACCGTTTGATCTCAGTCCAAAACTCAGTTATCACTGCCTGTCAATTTCTCATCTCTGGTCTGTTCTAAGATCAGATTAGGAATTTTCGGCATGGGCTTCACCCTTCCAAGCATTCTCGCCTATAGTAGGCGGGGTTCTGGTCAGTGCCTGTGTGCCTTGTTAATCTTATGGTCAATCCACTCTTCCTATCCGTTCCGCCCGCCTTCCAGTTTTTTGTTTGAGAACATCGAAATCTGTTTGTTGTCATTTTTATGTGAAACAATGTGCAACTGACAAATGTTCCCTTTCAAAGCCTCTATCCCCTGTTTAGGATTGCAAGGAGTTCGTCGACTACTGCGTAAATCGTGGTGTGGATAGAAATCAGTTATGCATGGGAGATTCAGTTTCGGCCGAGGAAATCAGCAAGTCAGTGTTCAACTGCTTGAGCTGCTAATTCTAACTAAACATGTTTGCTAATTAGAATGGCATTCGAAAAATGTCTTGGCATTCTGACCGCTCCCAATCACATCGAGTCACTCACCACTCGTTATAATGTTCTGGTAGATCTGATAGAATTCACGAAATTGGCGGTTAAGACAAACACTACGTACGTTTATGTTAAGTTCTATCGGCTTACGTTTTCTTGTTCACTTATGTCATTAGATTCAATTTTCAGCAGAGTAGCTGCTTTTTTGGCATCGGCTCTGTTTTATTTTGGCTTTGCACCCGAAAAGCTGACTCCCATGGTACGACCACTTGTAGAGTGTATGCAAAATGAGCACAATTCCACTGTATCTGCTGAGGTCAGTCTTCACAGTCACCGCCAAACCTTTCAGTCGTTGTGCTGCTGACGTCGCGAGTAACCTGTTACAGATTTTTCGTGGAGCAGTGACATTAATGATCGCGTATAGTTGGCCGAGGACGCCAAGACCATACGTCAAGGTTCAATTCTTTTTTTAAAAACTTTGCTGAAATTTTTTTTTCGCGAATAGACCGACTTCTTGAACAGGGATGCCACCTGGCTTGGCGTGGAACTATTTTGGCGCGCGCGCCAGAGGCACTGGCGCCAAAATTCCTAGACTGACAATTTCGCTGAAAAATTGTCGTCTGGGCCAGATTGACATCGTGAACGTGAATATCACATCCACTCGGCTCGAAACTGCTAGGCCGCCACGCCTCAGGGTCGGGCCAAAATACCTTAGCTCACCATATTCGCTGAAAACTTGTCGGGCGCCAGCGTCAAAATACCCCAAACCATCAAAATTCGCGGAAAAGTTGTTCCGTGGGGTAGCATGACCTCCTGAAGTCGAATATCACATCTGTATAGGGTGCCTGTGGAGTATAGTGTGAAGTAAAGGGGGTACACAGCGACACCTCAGCTATCTGCGCTCGGGTGCACCTTTCCACCGATATAGTGACCCTTCCACTGCTAATGGTGAGCCTGGCCTGAAAGGAACCACTTCTTCTCCCAAGCTCAGCCTTAGAAAAGCTAAATAGCGCAATTTTTAATCGATTTTCGGAGAAATATGGTGGCGCCGAATTGGCGCCCAGTAGCGCCACATAGCGCCAGCGCCAAAAAGTATTTACATATCCGTGATCAGGGCTTCGGTTAACCTGCAGTCGAAGTTTCGGTGAAAAATTTTTGAGTTTTTGGTGTACGAAAATAACTGTAGTGCCAAAGCTTTAAGTTTGGTATTGACACCACCTGACTGTCTTACATTTGTTCGTAGGTCATTTGTAATTCCGAGATTTCAGGTCTTTCATAACTATTAGGTCACTTTCATATATACCATTTTCACTTTAAATTCACCCCTTTTCAAAAGAAATCCACCCTTTTTTAAACCAAATTTACCCCTTTTCAAACCAAATTCCCCCACCTTCCGAATCGAATTCACCACACTTATTAGGCTGCGCAATTTATCAACCAAATCGCGCCAGACGCTACTGCGGGCTCCGCCCCCTCGGCCACGCCACTTGCTTTTTGCGGAATTTTGATATTTTTTCAAAAATTTTGCCTTTTGGACCGCTACGTGAAGCATGGCCCACTGAGGGAGGCTCCGCCCACTTCGGAGAAGCTCCGCCCACTTTTCAAAAATGGTGTAACTCGACAGTATAGTGTCTTGGTTTTCATGCTGGGGTCTCGTTCGTCACTCGGAACAAGAAAATCGGGCAAAGTTTGTTCCGACTGACCAGCAACCCTAAACTGCCGACTTACATCATTTTTGAAAGGTGGGAGGGGCTCCTCCAAAGTGGGCGGGGCTCTCACGGTGGGCGTGGCTTCACGTAGCAGTCCAAAAAGGCAAAATTTTTGGAAAAATATCAAAATTCCGCAAAAAGCAAGTGGGCGTGGCCGAGGAGGCGGGGCCCGCAGTAGTGTGTGGCGTGATTTGGTTGATGAGTTGCGCAGCCTAAGAAGTGTGCTGAATTCGATTCGGAAGGTGGGTGAATTTGGTTTGAAAAGGGGTGGATTTGGTTTGAAAAGGGGTGAATTTGGTTTGAAAAAGGGTGAATTTGGTTTGAAAAGGAATGAATTCACAGTGAATATGGTATATTTCACAATCGGAGAGGCGAGGAACCAGAGAAAATGCGAAAGAGACAACACACGCGTCGTTTTATACAATTAGATGACTCGCGAAAGAAATTAGATTCACATCGAGTGGTCTTAATCGTTCAGTGCGTGCCTAGTTCATTTCGTGGGTTTTCAATCCTCCATGCGTAATTATTTATCTTTTCGCAGATTCTGTGGTCCTTCGATTCTCCAGCGTCGCCAGGTATGAACGGGGTCTTGCAAGCTAATTCTGTAGTTGTGTTACTACCATGTTCATCTAAATTCCTTGTTCATGAGGTTCTCATGTTTATAACCAGCGTGTAATTATAATTAAAGAAATAAATAGACAAAGGCGCTAGTCACCTACGAGTGCATATAAAGACATCCTTGTGCGAAACTGGAATGACAGTCATCCGAACAGTTACTATCGCACTCTAAGTGAGACTCCTCAACTCCTACACGGTAATGCCAGTTTTGTACAAGGATTCTTTTACAAGAATCCCTACTCTAAGCCAGGCTTATCAGCGCCTAATATTTCCTCATAAAAATGCAAGGTAAAATTATTGTGCTTTTTCTAGGTACTTGGACGAGCAAAGGACATGTTTTCCAGCTGCTCCGCTCGCATTCCTAAAGCGAAGGAATGGTAACATTATAACAATGCTCAGACTACATTTGAAAAAGTATTTCTGTGCTTCCCAGGTCGTCGAAGGAAGTGCAGCATGTGATACTCAGTATACAGAGAACCGAGTCCGAAGGAGTCTCTTTTTCTCCGCAAAGCAGGAATGCAGAGTTGATGTTTTTGGTCAGTTTTTCAGAAAGATTTCCTGATATGCAGCTTATCGTGTCAAATTTCACGGAATCTCAGGTGTGTACTACATTCACGGTAGATCAGCTGCCAGAGTTCTATGACCAGTTTGCACTGGATAGTTGTGAAACAGAAGAGGTGAGGCCGATTCTGGTGTCAGTATGTGTAATTCGTTGTGATAGTTAACACTGTGCTATCAAACGTTGCCACCCGTTTGCCAGTGTGCAAACAGTTGTTGAGCCTTCTTTTGATTTTAGGAATTGCTTTCGCGCTTGGCATTACACGATTGTATGTGGTCAAGAGTAGGATCGTCATTATCAGATGTGTCTACATCCCGAGTTATAGAGTTGCTGAAAAGCTCTAATCCAGCGTGCAGGTGATTCTGTGGTACCTTAAACTATTCTGTAACGAGGCAGGCATCGAGATTATCGTTATCAACCAGAATTGAGCCAGAATAGGAATTGGACCGTATTCCTACCGTGCTTTAACATAACAGCGACGTGGTATTGCACATGAGTACTACTATCACCCTCAACAATTACTAGCAAAACTAGTCACATTCGGCAAAGTGATGAATATGGATACCCTGTATTCCTCGAATTAAGGGCTTTTGTGAAAGTGGGCGGAGCTTCGATGAAGTGGGAGGAGTCTGTCGCAGTGGACGGCTACTTGGTAGCCACGTACTACTGCGGTACTACTTATCACGTTGGATGTGTGAGTGCTGCAAAGCTATGGCACAAAATGGGATTGAGGTGAGAAGGCAAGAGTGGGCCTCGCTAACGGCGCGACCGCGCGGTAAGCGTTAGATGCGGGTTCGAGTCCCAGGTCCGACTTTTGCCAGTATCTCAACATTTTTAGTATGACTGCTTGGTAGTTGTTAAAATGTGAACAAATAATAAAAAAAACCGAAGTGTCGTCAACGTGTTGAATATTATATCCGGCTCTACCGTTGGCATCTGCCTTCCATAGAGGTGCTCTGCTTCGGAAGTCTCGTAGCTGACTGCACCTTGTCCAGGATTCCAGCCAGCTGCTAGATTGTAGTTGCTGCAATCTCGACCAAGGTGCAGTCAGCTACGAACTAGCCAGCTCTGCGTTCAAGGTGCTTTTTCTGCACTAGCACTTTTAGCCTCGATACTTGCTGTGTGTGTACTTGATGTCACCAACCGCAGTTTCTCACCTGAACTTTCTTTTTGGGTCGCTCGGATTGGAAATTCCTTTTTTTCCGACAGACCTGTGCACTATGTATTCACAGACTTGAAACCAGAAACTACAGTACTTGAACTTCATTGTTGATATCTTGATATCTAGAAGCACTAGAACAATTCAATAAAAGTTTGATACAAAAAGAGCGACTTCTGTTAGACCGAGTTCATAATTTCGACTTGGCGTTTGAGTAAATCGGCTCTCTGAGGGAAAAGACGAGAAGGGGTATCGGTCGGCAAGAATCGCTGACTTTTGAGAGAAGTAGCGTTTTAAGCGAATCGGCGTTTTGGTCGCCATTCGATACCTAAACTATACTTTTCGCTTGAAGCGTCGGTTCTCTCAGAACGCTGGTTATCGCAGAATACCGAGTCACAAATTATGAACGCAGCCTACTAGGGGATAAGCTGTGAACAAGCCCACTATGGAGACGTTGCTTTTGCCGGATTGCGTCTGTCTCAAAGTTTGTTTTTAGTCACGCCCATTATATATGAGATGTTCTTGTCAGATTTGCTGGTGCGAAAGCAGTGGAAACTTTTGCACGGTCCCGTCTTGGCGATACAATTTCTCGGTTGCTGTCACCTTTGTCTGTGATGCTCACTAACGTCTCCATCGAAAGTGAAAGACGAGGAGCTATTGAAGCCTTGTTGAGGTGGATTTCGCTTTGTTTTCCGTCGAGTATGAACCATGAATTTTTTGATGAAGGTTATCGCTGATGCATACTGCTTTGACCGGTGTCGTATCGCTACTAGCACCATTGGCTTTTGTGCGGATGACTGATAAACTGGAGGAGATTCGTGAAGCTGCTGGCGAAGCGTTTAGGAACATGGTGCCTCTGCTGGCCTTGGAGGTTTGTCTTATTATTGTTACCAGTTTAGCTGACGCGCACTATTAGGCGCATGGTCGAATTTATGGTGCTGATTACTGACAGGATTTGTGCTGACAAGGGAGGTCGTTCAGGTTGTGGTGAGCTTTTCAAAAACGGATTGTTGCATGATGTTGCCAAAACGCTAAGACCACACAGGTGAGGTTCATTTTTGCTAAACGGTATCGGGAGCGCGGAAAAAAAATTCGAAAAGGACGGGCTATTTAAACCACCCTATTCAGCTCCGTTCTGGCTGTATCGTTGAGGGTGTACAGTTTCTGAGGTGAACTTTAAGTAGACATGAAAAACAACGCAGAAGAAGGTCAAAATCCAAGTACTTCACCTGGCGTGTGCATTGAAGTTTCATCGCCACCCCCGCATGCTTCTTCAATGGCTCCGCAATTTACAGATGCTGTACTGGATAGACGGACTTTCAATCTACGATGATCGTGGATCGGATCCCCTTGGAGCCTTTTTTGCATTTTTCAGATTTCTTCCTCCTTGAGTTCCTGTGTGCCCGATAATGTTTAATGCCATATTGGTGCACTTTCAGTGCACCAATAGTTCTCGAACGGGCCCTACTCAGCTATTACGCTCTCGAAGTACGAAAAAGAAAATGTCCCTGGAATCCAGTGAAAACTGAATCGGTCGGAGTCGAAGATGCTCCAGTATACTCCACATTGCAGCGGCCACCTAGGCGCACGCAGTGCATAAAAGGAACACTTTGCGCAATAGCGGGTTCATACGTGCCTGGACATGTACATCGATGTGATCTACCGTAACTTGTACCACATCTACATTAGCAGTGGTGTGTATGTCTATAAACTATTGTGTGTATCCGATTTATCTCAACAATCATTTTCTCACCTGCAAGAGTAATCGGCTGAATTCTGTCGTCTTTCACTCCAGACTTTTCTCCACCGACGAGAAACGAGATTGCGATTGCTGACGCCTTCAGAGGTATTCTTCAGGTTGCAGCAGAAGAAGACATCGAGTGCGAGGAGCAGGACGATTCGCTACAGGTTAGGTTTGTAGAAGTATATGGGCACCTTCGTCTCATGAAGTGATCACGATTTTTTCACTGTTGGCATAGACAGGTGTCTTGTGACGAAGGGTTGGACGTCACCTGGGTCCCGATGAGGACAATGATGACTGTGGTTGCAACAGGATGTCCTTCCTCATCAGAAGAGCGTATTTTGAGACGAGAGGCCCATTCTTGAGGATATGGTTAGCTGTTGGCTATAGCACGCGGTAACATGGGCTTGGGGCATCATCTCTGTTTTATAACAGATCAGGCGCGCTATTGAACACTACCGCGGTACGTAAAAGTTTCTCGGTCTCTGTCAGCCACGAAGAGTCATTTTAGATGGATTAAAAGTGAATGTCATATAAATATGCTTCGAGAAATCGAAACGAAAGGTACAATGGGTGTCTTCATGCTACAGTTTCACACTTACTAGGCGAGCCACTAGAAACATTCCCTTTTCTCCCGTTCACCTGCGTTGAGGAATCTCGGGCGAATAACTTCAAGCGGCTGTCTGCCCTTCTTTGCGAAAGCGTGCTGAAAGCCTCTGAACAAGGTATGGTTGAAATGTTTGAGCTAGAAAGTCGTCAAATGTTCGGCAGATTTCTTTTCAACTTCTAGGTCTCCTTTTGTGTATGCTGTCATCAGACACACGGCTATTCGCCTTAACTTGATGCACGGAATTGTTGATGGATTTCGAGCGTCAAAGTCATGGATCCCTAAATTTGTGCGCGAATGCGGTTCGCGCTCGAGGAGGTGACGCGCTCGTCACAACAAACAGCCTACGTTGTAGAAGTGCGGTGAAAGCGGAGGTCGATGCATTTTGAAGAGGGTCCGCCAAGGCAGATCAGACGCGGATAAGCAAAGAAATGGCTTTGAAAAGGTATGCGGTCGTTCAAGGGGAACTCCCCTTCCACTAAAGTTAATACCATCTATACAAATACACTAGCAGAACCTTTTTCAGAACACTAGCTCCGATCGCGTCGAAGCAGGTCATGAGAATGGTACACTCGGTCTCGTCACTCACTCGTTCATGGCCATGCCCGCCTTATGTGCTGACAGTCGACTGAGAGAGAAGCTGCTGGTCATCCTTCCCGAGGGGGGGGAGTCTTTCCACAGAGTGGGCATTGGCACCGAACCTGCTGGTGACGGCTGGAAAGACTCACATCATGACAACGTCGCAGGTACCATCTTCCATCAGGGAGTGTGTGCTCGAGTCAAGTTCCCCTCACTGACTATACTCCTTGTCGATAGTTGGACTGGATTTGCGGACCACGCCAATGTGCTGTCAGAAGTGTCACAAGGGAAATAACTCCGGTTGATGACCATTCGAGGACCTAGCAACTGCTCTCTGCCAATCATTAGATGTGTACTTTTTCCGTTTATTCAAGCGATACATCCAACGCATACATGATCGTGTAATGCACCATCAGTCGGTCTTTGTCTACACCAGGGACAATATCCTCAAGGTACGGTGTTTTAGGTGGCGGTGTGCACCAATTGCCAAATACTCATTCCTGTGCAGGTTATCAGCCAGGCTTATCGCTAGTTTTGCGCGCCCAGGTTAAATGGCAGTTTCACGTGAAGAGGCGAAGATACCTGAAAGTGTTAGGATTCTAGGCGACTCCGACCGATTCAGTTTCCACTGGATTTTAGGACATTTCCTTTTCAGTATCGAGAGCGTAATAGTTGAGTAGGACCCGCTCGAGAACTACAAGTGCTCTGGAAGTACCCTAAACTAGCATAAGTGCCGCTTATAATTATCGGGCACACAGGAACTCATGATGGGAGAAATCTGGAAAATGCAAAAAAACAAGGCTCCAAGGGGTCCGATCCACTATCATCGTAGATTGAAAGTCCGTCTATCCACCACAGCATCTGTCCACTGCGAGATGCGGGATCCATTGAAGAAGCATGCGGGGTAATGGCGATGAAACTTCAATGTAGCTCACCACGTGCTAGGTAAAGTACTTGGATTTTGACCTTCTTCTGCGTTGTTTTTCATGCCTACTTGAATTTCACCTCGGAAACTATACAATCTCAACGATACAGCTAGAGCGGGAGCTGAATATCGCCCGTTCTTTTCAAACATTTTTCGACCCTTTTTTGGCACTCCCAATAACGTTTAGCAAAAATGAAGCCCACCTGTGTGGTCCTTGCATGGATCCCTACATTATGCAACAAACCGTTTCTAGGAAGCTCACTGCTACCTGACGACCTCCCTTGTGAACACTAACAGTTGGCTCAATTCTCATGTTATAAAGTATGGCCCATTCCATCATGTTTCACCTTTTTAATGAACATTTGCCAATGTCTGGTGCTTACCACATTTCTGAAAACACCCACCATTCGTTGGAAATAGGACAGCTCAGCGGTTGAAAGAAGAGATTATAGTGAAATGTCCTTGCATCCTAGTACTTCCATTGAACAGCTTACACGTATCCGTCTGTTGGTGGCTCGTTTCTCCCCAACAAACATCTTTAGGCTTTCACTTTTTGTCCGAATTCGAGATTTTAGCGGTCGAATCAATTTCGACTACGCTCAAAGAACATCTAGAAACATCTTCTTACTGCGTCTTAGTCCATTGCTTCTTTGGCCACGGTGGTCAGTGTCACTAGCAAGCAGAGCAAATATGGGAACGGATACTGTATCTAAACCCCTGTCGGCACTATCAAAACTTATCTCCCACCATGTTAACTAGCCACCTCAGAATCGCTTGCTGGAAGTTGCCCCAGTGTTGCCACAACCCATGGCGTCCTTTTTAAAGGAGCCTCTCATGGGCCTTATCAGCTGTTCATTCCTGCCACACATCAATCGTGTTCTCACCTCGCCTCCTATCTTACTCCTTGGGACCAACACTCCGTCGCTGCTGTGGCCTGACACTAATGTTCCCATCCTGCCTCCTGTTTAATTCTTGGAAAAAACGTCCCGTCGCTGCTGCGTTCTGTGGAGTCGGTGACTCACCCCTTTGTTCCCTTCGTAAGGCCCTTTATGGTATCTTATCAGCTCTTACCACTTGCCACACACCAATAGTGTTCCCATCGCCTCCTATCTTACATCTTGAAACTAACGTCCCGCCGTTGCTTTGGCACGCGCTATCAGTTGGGTGACCCTCCCCTTTTGAGACCGCCTTGATATCTTATCAGCTCTTATCACTTCTTGCCACCCAACTGTAGTGCTCCTGCCCAACCAACTACATCACTTATTATTTTTGGGGCTCTATCGCTGTTTTGAAGGAAGTTATGACTTTGCGGTCAAACACACATACAGACACACAATAACAGACAAACTTAGCGGATTATATATAGTAGGACATTTGTTATCCTGCAAAATCCCGACGCGGGGTTGCTTATCTCGAATGATTTTGTCTTTTTACAAGATTTTGCAGTGGGCGTTTCCATTTTTGCCAGGTAAATTTTTTAGACGGGACCTTTTTTGGCTCTGACTTCCAATTTTTCTTCTTCTTCGAAAGCGTTAAAGGCAATTCCCGCGATCAAGTGTTGCGGGTAGTTGGGCTCTGTCATGAACCAGTATCCTATAGGTAGTCTCTCAGAAGAAAAAGAAGCGGAAAAAACCTTGGGAACACCTTGAACACAGACGTCACCCCAGCAGCCCTGGACGAGTGCGTCGGGCGCGAAGGGGCGCGCTCCATAGCGATTGGAGCACAAAGCTGGAGCCGTGCGGCCGTGGCGCTAGTGAAAGTCACAGGTAAGCTCGAAAAACACACTAACCGCTCTTCATTTCTTGTCCTCCTCTTGCCATGATTACGGAAAACGAATTAACTGCCCTTCCAATCACGTCCTTCCCATCGCTTGCAGAGTATGAAATTCAAAAAGGTTTGCTGCTCTTTTGTTCACAACCTCCTAATGGAATTGCCCTTGCAAACCATCTAAAACCCTAAAACAGCCTATGCGTCTTCAAGTTCATGTCCAACGGTGCGGGGATTGCGCTTAATCGCTATAAAAAGCGAGGATCACCGAAGATGGCAACGTGCCAGAAGGGCCGTGCGCAACACGCGCCGCGCTGGCGTTAAAGGGACGGAAGCAGCTCGGGACCCGACGCCTCGTCCACCTACCGTCTCTGTGAGCCTAGCGAGCCTTGTCGAAATCGCTATAACTTTCTTATCGCGCGCTGTTGAGGGATGAAAGAGATATCATCTTCATCATGGCGTAGAGGGTTTCCAAAAGGCGCGAAATCATTTTGAAGACCACTTGATCGCGGGGAGTGGTCTTTAAAGGTAAGCTCCACGATTGCATATTGTGGAGTAGTGGCGTTCAGTTACAAGTCTATAGTCGGTAATCGACAGTGCAGTCAGAAGAAACAAAGAAAAAAATAATCACGGAGAACACTAAGAAATGCCAGCCTCGCTGTACAAGCCTTCGGATTTGCTCGCTCCATGCCAGCAAAGCAATATCCTGTCCCATCCGACTCAATTATTCGCCATAAAAACAGATCTAAAAATTGACCCGCGTGACAGAGAATAGCCTTTTAAGGCCTTCGCTACTTATAGTGGAACGGCGAAGTGGAACAGTCTCGGAGACTGGGGACCAGACTGCTAGTGCAAGGAAAGAGGCCTAGGAATCGCTCGAGCGTGGAATCTGTCTTTTATACAACTCGGAGCGATTTTACTGCAGACAGCCCAATGAAGTGCTAGTCAAGTTTTCGTGCACATCGCCTCAATACAATACGGAAAGGATACGGCTTCTGCTGCTAACCAATGCCTATTTAGGATGCGCAACGCATTCTACTTCAGAATTGTGTGATTTTTCTGGTGATTTCGGCCTGCGAGCGTCAGTCGATGCACAAGCCGGTGTTTGCATAATATCAGACAAACTAGCGAGCATTTAGCTACCGATTAGGCAGTCTTGGAGGTGTAGAAGGTAGGAATTGCCTGGGCGAGATCGACCGTGAGATCACGCGCATGGTTGCCCCACTATCTGTTATTACATCGGGTAGTCTTGGCTTTTGTTGCGCGATGAAACTCATCGGACTCACTGCTGAGGAGACTTAGGGAGCATGTTAGTATCGTGCACCGCTTGTGTTCACCAGCGAGTTACTAACACAGATAGTGTGTCGAATGTTCTTTCTACCATGTACTTTGATTCAACCTGGCGTGGAGCAATGAAGGGAAAAGGTGTTCAATCAGATAATTTGCAAACCGAGAGCTTCATGCCACTCCTAGACCTCTGATGAAGGCGAAAAGATCGGGGAGTCAAATCAAATTACCATTACACTAAACAACTGTTTGGCAAAATGAATGGAAAGACGTGATTCGACGTTCTCTTATGTTCCCATACTTCTGAGAACCCCTGCTCTTCATTGTAGACCTCAAATTTCAGGACGTCAGTGTTGCGGTGCCAGACCTCAGTGAAGAGTTTTCCAAGAAGCGTGTGGAAAGTGCTGACTTTGTTAATGTTTTGTCAGCACCTGGACGTTTAACTCTGGTCGAAACAAAGACTATACGGGGCTTATGCAAAACAATCCGATTGAGACACTATCAGGCGGTGAGTTCAAGCCCTGTCTCGTAAGGGTGGGCGCATATTATGGACAATTGTTATGACTACAATAACCTGAATAATGGATAACCTGAATGATGACTTCGAAAGTCTGATCAGGAAAGGTCAAAAGGTCAGCCCGGGAATTTATATTGTAGTGCACGCCGTTGTACGCGTCTTGAGACGGTGAATTACCTTTAAAATCGGGACGATTCTCTGGACGGAGTTGTAGCGGTTCTCCCCCCCCCCCTGTTTTTTTTCTTTGAGGCGCCGAAGCATTAGCACCTGTAGTGCGGCATACGACGCTTTTTGAGCAAAATGGTGTCATATTCGTGTTTAGAGCATGAAATGCTCCTTGGGACGGTACCCTTGATCTGAGGTTTTGACTCGACTTCTAGTTGAATTGATTCTTCAGTGATGTCTTTTGCAAAAAAAAACAAACCTGGTTCAATAGCATCATCTGCATCATTTTTCTGATTACCGGGATGAATTCCCATGTTGGGTGAGCTCCAGTCTGCTGCTATCCACCCATAGAATACCCCGCATTTTCCACATTGGATCGAGATCTCAGATTTGGAGAGAACTCCGCTCCCAGGGGTAATTTCTCACATGAATGTCACAATAATTCTTTGGAAACCTTTGTGACATGTGTTATGGGGGGACAACCACAAGTATTTTTTTGAGGCAACAATGGGTCCACGCTAAAAAGAAACTGATCGCAGGTCCGCTTACAGACCAATGCAGGTGGGAAGAGATGTTAGAAGCTTTGTGAGTCTTTTCGTGAAGGATGCAACAATGGCGACCTCACGGGACCAAGCCCACGACTTCTTGCTTGTGACAGCGCTCGATACCTGTTGCGCTGTATTACCACCTAAGCGTGCAACGCGGCACTTGTATCTAATGGCGTTTCCTCGCTTCGCGATCGCATGTGAAACACCGCGTGGCGAGAAAACCCTCCTTACTTCCATCAAGAAAGTCGTTCCGCAAATTTCGGAAGAAGATTCGCATTCAATGTTCGCAAAAAAAACTTCATACTTCGGTGTACGTCACCTTGCAAAACTGAACTACATACCTCCTCCGGTTAGTGGTATTGGAAATGGAATTCGCTTTTAATAGGCTTCGTTGAATAGTTTCTCTCCGCAGTGTGCCTCCGACCGCTCCTTCCCTCCTCTAATGCGTTTAGAGTCGCTTAAATATGAATCGCTGTTAAACAAACTAGAGGTTGTTTCAAGGATCTGTATTGTTTCCTACATTTTTTCTACAACGGATTTATAGCACTTGTATGCTTCGCTTTACGTTTTTTCCCCATATTCAAGGAAGGGATCACTTGGATAAGATTCCTACGCAAGTTCGGATTGCATGGCATTTTGGCAGACGATATGGGTCTTGGGAAAACTCTTCAAACATTGTGCGCTCTGGCACTGTCGCTGGATAATGGTAAGTATAAGCAGTTTTTTTTCAAAATATTAGGTTGGTGCATAAGTTTTCCCCCCTGTTTTGATCCTTCCGTGTTTCGTTTGCATGGATGTTGCACGTGTGCGTGACGTGTACATGATACTCTGTCATCACACTAGCTATCACTCGCCCACGCTGCATTTGCAGTTTATCGCACAACTACCAGTGCAAAACCATGTCACAGTGGTTGTGCGGCATTGTGGCATTCTTCGGGTCCCAGCCCCCATCCTTCCGGAACGATGGAACCGACAATCTGCCTGAGCGTTGGCTTCGAGTTGTGGGTGGTGATGGTGCATACCTCTAATCTTCAGGCTGGTTCGCCATTGAGATATTTACAAAAAAATCGGGGGAACGAACTTATGCACCAACCTAGTATCTTCCACCACAAGTGTGACGTTAGCAGCTAAAACGCGCTGTATATTGAATACTTATACCCACCGTTCATTATTCCCACCGTTCATAGCAGCTGTAGGGTCAGTTGCTGAAGATAAATACGATGCACATATCAACGTGTTTTTCAGTTACCGTAATTGCCTCGAAACTGGGTGGCGTCCAAATTTCCATCGGTGCTGAATAACCAGGGCATGTATTGGCTTTGGGAAGAAGACTTGCAGAAGACGATCCTCCTTAGAACTTTCTCCTCTGGAACGATCCCCACCTCTCCCCATCATACCTCACAACTTCCTAAATTTTCCCAACCTCCAACTTCTTTCGGCTTCCTCGAGGTTTTTTGCCGGAAATTCTCTAATTTCTCAAAAAAAAAACCGGCGTAGCTGTAGGTTGGGGAGAGCTACAACGCGCACTTGGAACAGAAAAACACCGAGAGAATTCTCGGTGTTTTGAAGGAAGAAGGACTGCAAACATTTTTCTCAACACCATACACCGACCTTCCCCCCTCCCCCCCTCCCCCCCCCCCCATTCGTTGAGCATCCTAACGACGTGCTCATTGTACATAGCTAGCAGAGGAAGAATATAACAGTAGCGTTTGGTTCCACGCATAGTCAGACTTATCTTGAAGACAAAACGCACGCTCAACTGCGAGGTGTATCCTCGGCCTAAGGGGGGGGTGGCTATGAGGCCCCCAGCTGTCGATCCTAGCGGTTTCACCATCCAAATATGAAGATGAATACCAGGATCGGAACAGGAGAATAGGCTAATCCCTCCATACTCCGCACAAATAGCAACCTGGATGGGATCAGACATGCTGCTCGCCGCTTCCATATCTCGATTGCATCTACCCTGACCGACCACTCGCTCAACGCGCGTCGCGCGCGGATCTCCTGTCACTTGTCAAGACTTGTGGTTTGCGCTTAAGAATGCGCTTGCTCATAGATGATGACGCGAGGGCTAAAATTCATGGGCTACTAATGTAAATGTAAACAAAATGTAAATAAAAAGTGTAATTTAATTGTAAACCCGTGTAAATTTTCATATTTGTAAACCCGTGTATAATTTCAGAGTTAGATGCGGTTCTAACTCTAGGGCCATGAAAAGGCTGAATCAGCGAGGAGAGCACTTGAACCGTTTGTGGCCCCATGTTTCGTGGAAATACGCGGCTTCGAGGAAGATTGCAGAAGCAGCACAGTTACTTTTGAAATCTAGCCCTCATGCTCATCTGATCAAGAGTTTGCAGCATGACCAGCGCCTTAAGTGTCATCCACATCGGGAGTTTGCGTCTTCATCGTACTCTAAGGCAGCGTTCATACTTCGCGACAGCAGCGGCGACCTCGACGATCGCCGCGATCGTTGGTACATGCATAGCGCGCCCCAACGCTATTACTTGGACCGCTCCGAAGGCTTTCAGGGAGAAGCGACTCAATTTCATGCTTTTTGCTTTGACTGCAATTTTCTTAGGTACTGAAGCTCGGCTTGACGCAAAGAAAGGTAAACTCAACTCAATGCCTTTAGTTTTCTATTTTCTTTTCTTGATTCAGGATAGAAATGAGCAAAAAGGGTGAGGGCCCATAGGGTAGGTTTTTATTGTTTTTTTTTCTATTCGTTGAGCTTATACATGGGGGGGGGTATAAGGTTTTCACGTGTTGATGTTGCGTAAAATGATTAGTGTTTTGGTTACTAGGTGAGTTTCTTTCTGTTTCTTTTTTTTCTTCGTTCTTTGAACTCGACTCATAAGCTATAAATGTTTTGGAAGTTGGAACAGTTCAGACGATAAGGACTTTTAAGGCGCTTGTGTAAATTGAAACAATAAAAACAAAAGAAACAAAAAGAAACTCACCCAGGAAATGGAGTTGGCTTTATTCCGACCTAAAATGAAGTGAAACCTTCTTACCTCATATTCTAGATCCGCTTGTGTATAGAAAGTCGTAAGTATCGGTTAGTAGCCATTATCAAGAGAAAAGAAGGTCGCCGCGATCGCCGCTGCTGTCGCGAAGTATGAACGCTGCCTAAGGCGCAAATTGCCTACTGGAAAGCGCAATCTGTAAGACATGGCAAGGTGCAAGGAATGCCGCGCGACCGCGCAGACGGCCAGTTTTTATAGATGCAGACAGGATATGGTCGCGGCATGCAGCGTTTACGCAGCACTGCTTTTTAGGCGAAGTATGGAGGAATTTGCCCATCTCGTAACCCTGGATCCCCTTCACCGCGCATATTCAGACAGGAAACAGCAACGCTTCGACAGCCAGGGGGGCTTGTTGGCTTCGCACATGCGAAGATGCACCTCGCAGATGAGCGTGCAACTTGTCTGCAAACTGAGAGGTATCGTTTTAGGGGCTCGAGATGATTCGAATGAATTAGATAATTCTAAATGAAAGTGCTCAGAAGAAACATTCATCGCTCAGATTTTGCCAGTGACTACTGGAAGAAGAGGAACTGCGCCACAGTCTTGTATTTCTGGATTATCCATTCCATAAGTCAGAACACCACTTTGTATGGGGTGTCGCAGTGACAGGGGGCGGGCCAGCTTATTGCGCGTGCGGTCCGTGGCCCGTATCTCGAAACGTCTCTAGGGCCATTCAAACCTACCATCCTGGACCGATAAATCGGATCGAAGCGTGAAAACAGGGAGTTGTGAATCGAGTTGCCCTGCAAGTCGGTGTGTAGACCGACACTCAGTATGTCCCTACGATTTTAACTGCAATGTAGTAGAAGGCGTGTCGCATCCAGAAAGGCCTTGATCAACGGCGAAAGCTCTATCTTCAATCCCTTAACTCATGCTTGTGGTGATGGAATATCTTGTTCTTTTGTCAGATGGTGCTTTTCCTTCTCAGATGCTAACTTGGTCAGTCGTTGCTCGTTAATTATCTGTCCGCGAACACTTGTGGACCACTGGTGCAACGAATGGCGTCGTTTCTTTCCTGGTAGAACACCGGCGCGTCACGTCGAGGGAACAGCGGCGAAATGGAAAGGTGCCGAAATTGTTGTCGCTGCGTATGAGGATCTCAAAGGAAGCTCCTTTTTAGGGTGTGTGTTTCAGTATCTCCTCAGGTTACAGCAACGTTTTCTTCAGGCAGTTGGACTTCTTTAAGGTCTGTCGCTTGGAATTACGTGGTATTGGATGAAGGGCATGTACTGAGAAATCCTAAGACTGCAATTTGGCGAGCAGCGAATGAACTGAACTCTACCAGTCGCTTGATTCTTTCCGGAACTCCAGTGCAGAACAGGTTCTTTCTGCTTCTATACGTTTATGCATCTTCAGTTTGCATATTTTAGAGCCTATCCATCATATCCACATTTGGGATTACATTTTTTAGCCCTGCTGATCTGTGGGCTCTGTTCACATGGTTGATGCCTGGATATCTAGGTGATGAACGACATTTCCGTTCCCGATTCCTCCGCAAAATCCTCAAATGCCGCAGCCACAAAGCCAATGAAAAGGATATACAGGTGGCTTTCGCTTTATCTTTTTCGCTGTGCTGAGTGGTACATAATCTTGCTCCTAGGATGGTTGCGAAGCAATCTCGCAGCTTCACCGGCTGATTTTACCATTTATCATGCGGCGTCTCAAGTCTGAGGTGATATAATTCTTTCGGATTTCCTCTATGTGATCACCATGAAAACATCGTAACTTCATTGCTTAACCAGGTCCTTCGTGAGTTACCTGATAAAAATGTGCAAGATTACGAGTGTCAGCTCAGCGAGGAACAGCGAACTATCTACAAGTTTATTGTGGACAGGTATTTCTTTTGTGTTCTGTGTTTTGAACATTTTGAGCTTGTGCTAGAGTCGTCTTTGAGCTTGGGCCGCATCTAGACGTCACAATTCATTCTACAAATACTCAGTCGGCAGGCGCAGGCTGACCGGGAGCGTTCCCTCCCGGAATGCCAAACAGATTATGATTGTGATTTTTTTTATCGGTTAGTCAAAACAAACAGAACAACACGTAATTATATAACTCGGTGACCGATGTAACAGGCAAAAGGAAAGAGGGAGTGACGGGCAATAGATATATATGGCATTGTTTGACCAGTAGCATCATACCCGCTATCTTCACCACTGTTTGTATGGAATGGTGGTGAGCAGCGTTGATCAGTTGAAGAGATGAGAGAAAAGCCGGGTGTTAGTCGAGCATTTGATCATGCGAAAGCAGGTACGCACGATCGAGCCACGCCCCGCAAGGCCGGGCTGTATCACAGAGGAGTTCTGTAGTGCTCTGGAACCGCTGTAGGAATTTTCAAGGCTGGCTCCGTCCTTTCGCCGCACGCCCCGCCCACAGCGGGTATGCCTCACACTTGTGAACCGATGACCCCCCTCCCCCACCGCTGATCTTAAGCCACTTTTCCCCGGTGTCTGGAATGTTTGGAAGCGTTTCGCGAATTTTCTAGAATTTGGCTTCGTCCAGCCCGCCGCACGCTGCGCCCACACCGGGAGTGCCTCGCTCATCTCAGCATGTGATCACTTGGGGACTATAACCCAATTTTTTGCGCCGTCTTAGTACTCTAGAACCAAACTACGATTTTTTTTGAAACTGGTACCTCGTGTTTAAAGGCACGCCCCGCCCACTTATCGTGGACGGGCCTCAGCACGCCCGAAAATAGTGGACTATTGCCAGATGTTCATCTTCGACGCGGACTTTACTAGGATCTCCACACTTTTAGGGAATCGAGTTAGAGACCTTCGTAGGAACCACCGCCCACCTCGAATGGGCCCCGCCCATTCCAGATGTGTATCCACTATTTGGTTTGTCGGTCTTTTGTTAACTTTACTGCACTGTTCCCCTATCTCAGGACTGCTCTGGACCAAGTTATGATTTTTCAGTGACATGGCTAGCTTTCGGAGCACGCCTCGCCCACTTAAAATGGGTCACGGGTGCTATTTACATATTGTCCCATGCCCTACCCGTCTTCAGCGTGACTCGACCCCTCCAAGTTCTCAACGTGCTATGAATTTCGTGACAAACAGACAGACAGACACACACGCGGACATGGCTTATATATAGTAGGATATACAAAATTAAAGGTAAAATTTGCACAAGTTCTTTTGAGTGATTTTTGTCTCCTATATTCTTTGACGACGAGCCGTTTTTTTCATGAAGTGCCCGTGGGATGGCACGTTCAGTGATTTTTGAATAGATGAATGGCTACGGTCAGGGTGTTTGAGAAATGCAAGACACGAGTATAAGAATCCCGAATATTTGACACAATTTTGCTTTTATTGCTCCAGGCTTCCAAAACCAGGTCATTTTTACCAACTTCTTCCTCTGGAGGCAGATTTGGCTGAAAATTTGTCTGCCCGGGTAGTCTGACCTCCTAAAGATCATTATTGCACCCGTCGACCCAGAATGTTCTTGAACTTATTTTATGAGAAGAAAATGAAACAATTGCGCAGACTTGGAGTTATATAATTACTGTCGGACAGCACTGGGTGACGCCGTCCCACAACACAAAGTGGCTTCCGTCCACCACTGACGGAAATCGTTGTCAACGCATTAAAGGGTTATGATTTTTTTGTTAAGGGGGTGGAACTGCCCCTAGGGACAAATTTGCAGCTAATTTGGTGATTTACAGTATTTTGGCGCCTGCGCCTGAGGCGCGGGCGCCAGGTAGTTCGTGCAAAGCGGCTGTGGTACTCGTTTCAGAGGGACAAGCTACCCCTCAGGGACACCTTTACGACAAACATGGCTGCTCGTCCATCTTTATTCTTAGAAAATATACTGGCAGAAGCCATTGTCTGCCGTCCCATGAGACAGACTGGCTGTCAGCCACCATTGTCTGCCAGCGTGTTAAACGCTCATTCCGTCTGTAACTTGTAGAGGAAGTCAGGCGCAGAGTCAAACATTCGTTGAGGAATCCTTAACGTAGGGGTCGTTTTGGCTCGCTGAGTGGGGTGGGAGAGGGGTCGCATTTAGTGAAGCCAAGCAGCGTTAGTGAAGGCTATGGGGGAAAAGTGAACCTAATGAAGCGGTGGTGTGGATGATCCGAATTATGGGAGAACTTGTTGTACTACTGAGTTGGCCTATGAGTAAAGGCGTTTATGCAAGTTTTCATACGAAAAATGATAGTTGTTCACAATATATTTTATGCTATTCGATAGATATTTTTCCGTTCTTCAAGCTGGTATGAGTGTTTTTCTACGTTTTTCAATCTCTGTCGATTTTTCCATTGAAATGGAGTGTTGGGTGGACACAAAAGTGAGTTATTAACAACAACTTTTTGCATTTTATCTCGGCTCTCAACTTACAGAAGAACCTCGAACTCGTGATATATACCATTTTTACTTTAAAGGCAGTTGGCACGATAAATCGTTATACAGATGTAGGATTTATACGACTGGCTTAACGGAATTCCGTGACCTTGGACAAGCGCTCCGTGGCGCCTTTCCCAAGGAGGGTACCCCAATAACGCTTTATCGAGCAACAACATTCCGTCCCAAACGCCTTCCTCGAACGCCCGCCCACAAATGGACGACCGTTCCTGACGCTCGTATTCATTCATTTGGTAAGCAAAATTATGAAGCAAAGGATTGGGGATTGGCATAAAGCAGCCGTGATGCCGCACGTACATGGGTACACATATGCAGCGTAGGTTCCGGTAGCGATGAATGGCAAGATGCGTACGGGAAACTCGTCCGAAATCGATTTAAGTCACTGAGAACGGAGGCTTTTTCTTCGCCGGATTTTGGCCGTTTCACTCCTTTTTTTCGCCATTTCCCCCACTACATAAGGCCCTACTAGCATTTTAGGCTTAGTGGGGAAACCATCGTGCCAACTGCCTTTAAATTCACCACTTTTCAAACCAAATTCACCGCTCTTCTTACAATTGGACCAGGCAGCTCCCCAACCAAATCACGCCGGACACCACCCCGAACCCTGCCCCACGGTCACGCCTACTTGTCAGCGCTGGCATAGATTTTCAACACATGACTAACTCCGCCTATTCTTTAACGTTTGTCGGACTTCAAATCTTTATAACTTTTCAATTTTAAATTCCACATCCACTCTTCGTACAACGAAGATACTCGTAGACGCGCATTCGTGCACCGGCAATTTAGGCTCCGCCCCTTTGGCCACCCACTTGCTGTTTGCGGAATTATGATATTTTTTTCAAAATTTTTGCATTTTTGGACTGCGCCGTGAAGCCCTGCAAGGGCGGCGTAATAAGGAAAGCACAACGACACTTTTGTCTTTGCTCACATTATCTGCATAAAATAGACCTTTCCTTATTATTGTTCTCTTTTTTTTACTGGCGTCTTCTCGTGTACTTTCCCTCCTGCTGTCTGGATCTTCCTTGTTCCTAATGGGTACTGTATTTTTGTCTCTCCTGCTTCCTTTTTTATATCAGGAAAATCGGTAGTTTATCATGGCATCTTGCTCTCTTCAGGTGTACGGCCAATCGTACGCAACTGGCTGCTCGACGAGGAATTTCTCCGCTCCATGCTCTAATGGCACTTCGACAGCTCGTCGATCATCCCTTGTTGATACAAGATGTCCTCACGAAGTTGGCTGCACCCGAAGAGATAATGAAATTGGTAACCATACCACAATTCTGAAGGAGTGAAGAGTCGTAAATGGATCATAAAACTAGCTCAGTGTAGTCGGAGTTGCACACAACTCGCCCAGTTGCAGGTGCCTACTGCGTCGTCAGGCAAAATCGCGGCTTTAGGTCAACTGTTGAGCGAATGTGGTATTGGAGTCACGTTTGAGGAAGAGGATCCCGAAGACGAAGGTGAGTGTGTCGATTTATTCTTACCTGGGAAGAAACCAGTCCTTCAGATCCACTTTCGTCTATTCCTGTGGAGTTGCCACATCGAGCTCTGATATTTTGTCAGTGGAAGTCATCTGTACAGTTGGTATCAAATGCTTTATCGAGGTATGCAACTATCTTCGCTACAAATTACTTATAAATCCTAGCGACAGCAGAATTACGCTAGCCTTATTTTTGCTGGTTGTTTGGAGGGTATGTGGTATGCTCTATTTCTGTCCCCTCAGTGGAAACGACTTACGTCTCACGCGATGCGAAAATCTTTGACGCACTACAGTCCTGCAAAAGTGATCTTCGCATAGGATAATTACTGTTGAAGTCACCCAACCAGCGGACAACAGTCTTTTATCTGTTTTCGGTGGTACACATAGGAACCAGTCATTTTGAGCTGCTAGCTTACGCTCATCGGATTACGCGAGTACCCGATGTTTTCAATATTCTGGCACTCTTCGCCCTTCACTGCCCCAATCATCCGAAATGTGGCCAACTTTTGACCGACTTTTTTCTCCGTGAGCCGAATTGTCGGCAAATCTGTTTCCTGTGGTAATTTGACCTCTGAACATGAGTGTCACATCTGCCTGGCCCGAAACCTCCTGGCGCCTGCGCCAAAATAGCCTAGATCACAAAATTCGCTGAAATCTTGTTCCCATGAGAACCTCTCGAACACGAATATCACATCACATCCGCTTAGCCCGAAACCTCCTGATGCCTGCGCCACAGGCGCCGGCGCCAAAATACTCCAACCCATCGGCGTCTATGGCGCGGGCGCCAGGGGCGTTTCGGGCCAAGCGGCTGTGATATTCGTGTCTAGGAGGACAAATTACCCCAGTGACGAAATTCGAGCCAAGTTTGTCCAGGGAGAAAAAGGTCGGTCAGAAAGCGGCTCGAGTCCGGATGTCAATCTGCGAATAGTGCCATCATCCCTTATTCTATGCAGGGAATAAGACACTTTTGATTAGCGATGACCGGTCAAGCAGAATCCGAACCTCTGTACCGAGGTAGTTCGGCGTCGTGGGGGGAGGGGTACTTTGCGCATTTGCTACTTCACATCAACGTCTTCTTAGCGTTCACCAGCAACATCGGCTAACCAGCTAATCAAACTTGAAAGCAGGAAACTGTAGCAAAAACCGAAAACCATTCAGCATAGAGGGTAAGAAGGCACTCTGGTGGTGTGGTGGATAGCGCATTTGCCCGGAAAGCGTGTGTATTATATTCAGAGTTGATCTTAAAGTCATTATATGGTCACATTCTTTCCTACTGAGGTTGCTAGCGAATTGATATGCGTTGTGATATTCTAAAAATTACCGCTACAAGTGTGATTACGATGAGCATAGCTCATACGTTGTTTCAGGGGTGATTTCGGCGCTCCAATAGCTCATCTTGTTCTCGATGGATCGGTACCACCGTCAGAACGTCAAGCAATTGTAGATCGCTTCAACACGGATCACCTCATTGACGTTCTCGTGTTGACTACTCATGTAAGTTATAATGAAATTGGTCGAGAGACAGGCCTACAGATTTGCGTCAGCCTTATCCTTATTTCCCCACGTATCTCGCATAGATGGTGCTGGTTTGTACTGGCAGCCTTTACATTATTGTAAATAATTGGATCTCGGTTTCAGCCATGCTTTTTTTAGAGACATGCTCCGCGATTGCAAGTATTTTATAGGGAATCCAAGCACGAACTTGTGCGGAATCGACATTCCTTAGGGTCTGTTGACTCACACTAACATCTAGTCGTGAACTCACACACAGGGTATTAGATAGGGGTGTTCAATTATGAATCAGCAGCTGATAAGTGATTCCCCAAAGGAGAATTACCAGAAAGAATCTTAGAACATCATAAATCACTGCGGAATCAGTTATCACAAACAAAACTGCTCTCTGACAGTCACACGGCCTTATTGTACGAGTTCGCCGGACTTGCTGGCAATTCGGCGCCCTGCGGTTTCTGTGACCATTTGGCTTACAAATCGCTTTTCACATCTTCTAGAACTGAATGTCATCCAATGCAAAGGAAAGACAATGAAAAAAAAACAAAAAGACTGGGGCAAAACACTTGACCGAAAGTAACTTTTGGAAACACTGCGTGCGAATCTTGGATTACGGTAAGCTATGCCCGGCAACTGCATCTCTGGTTGTCTGAACACGTCTTACCTTGCGAAATGGATTGGGTTGACTGTATGTGCTCTCAATAGAGACAATGAAATAAAAGAGAGCAGAATTACCTAATGAGCGCAGCCGGCAAAGATGGACACGCAGTTCGGATTTATGTCCGCCACTCTCCACAAACAGCTACTAAGTACTACTGCATTAGTGTAAAGGGGACTTTCGTTGAGTGGGTAGTTCATTCGAGTGGGTATCAGAAGTTCTTCTGACGCGTGCTCACTTGGATCCTCCTATTTGGCTGTGGAGTCGCGAGAGTGGGAAATATCTTACAAAGGGACTCCACAGGTCGTTCCGACCATTTGCAGTGATATGTATATAGACTTGCCGTGAGCCGATGAATTCTAATCTCCCCTCGGAATTAGCGGAACGATTCTCTTAACGAAATTACGTATCACTCATTCCCTGCTGGGTTCGCACAAGTTTGGAACAATAACTAGTGGCAGCAAGCGGGCGGTGGTATAGCGGATAAGTGTGCCGTTTCAGAGGCCGAGGTCACATGATGGAATCCTGACTTGCAAATTTTTGCTTTTGTCTAACAATTCATATGAACCCTGAAAACACTGCTAATTTACCTAGCTCATTGATTAGAAGACACCAGAAACAGGCAATTCCCCCATTTCTGGTTTTGAGAACTCGGGTTCTTTCTTACTGTGAGCACTCTCCACACACGGTATAGTGAAGTTCTGCACCACCTCAGGGTGAAAGCAGTACTGAAGATGTTTTTTTTTGAATTTTGAACCGAAAGTCCATCTGGTCCATACAAAATTTTCTGATATGGTCAGTCCACATGATCTACTGGCCTCTTTACGCAACCTCTATTAACCACATATCCTCATGAACGTTCTCAAAAGGAATCAAAAGCGGAGAATTTGCTCCCTCCTGCGTTTAGTAAGTGAAGAACTAGCTAAATTAGCTTAACAGAAGTGTTATTGGTCAGGTCGTATGAGGTGTTTTGAACAAAATGACAAATTTCCAAGAGCAAGGACTCCAGCATGGGACCTTGCGCCTCTAAAACAATGCGCTTATCCACTACACCACTCGCCGCTGACTCCAGTGGCTTATCTTCCGAACTCGTGCGAACACAGCAGAGCATCAATGGTCCGTAACTCCTTTGAGAGAATAGCTTCGCAAATACCGAGAAACAGTTGAGTTCAGCGGCTCAAAACACCTTACATCTCATTGCGAGTGGCTGGGACCTCTTGGGGTTCCTTTGTAGGTCTGCGTGCTGGACTACTTCCTCGAGGAAGGACAACTACTGGCCACATAGCTATAAAACAACATGTGTAGGCAACGATAGCAGACTGAGATGTGATCTGAGAAGTGAGCGAGCGTCTCTTGGGACTCGAGGCGTTCTGGCGAAAAGCCCTCGAGACATTTCACTGCAACACTTATGGTTAGTACAGAGGAGTTTCAACTCAGCTCGAAACTCTTTACTCCCTAAGCCTACACCCTCCCCCCCCCATACTGTAGTCCATATTGTTTCCGGACTTAATATTATTGTGAATTGATGGATCAATATTATAATCGATGGATCCCAACTGGAAGTCGCGTCTTTCCCATAGGTGCTAATTTACGTACCCGTGCGAAACAAGCAGACCGAGCGTCAGGAACCTCCCTCAAACAGCCTTTTTTCTGACTAGTTCCTAGCGTCAAATGAGAGCGCAAGGCGAAGAGACAGCGCGAGTTGCAAGTTAAGAAGTTGGCTCAGCCTTAGTAAATCACTTTATAGGTTGTTTCAGATTGGTGGCGTTGGACTGAATCTAACAGGAGCAGATGTGGTGATTTTTCTCGATCATGACTGGAATCCAATGAAGGACCTGCAAGCTATCGATAGGTCATTCCATTCTGAGTTTAGGCATGTGAATTATTTCTGTAAGGCTTTATTTTTTCCTACTTTAGGGCACACAGAATTGGTCAGACTCGTAAAGTGAATGTTTATCGTCTTATTACACAAGGAACAGTGGAGGCTAAAGTTATGAGTTTACATAAGTTCAAGCAGGATACAGCAGACGTGAGTTCATGTGTTAGCTCCGTGAAACGCTTTAAACTGGTGATGATGAACCCATTTCTTACAGGCGCTGATTGGAGCCGATAATCGCTCACTTCAAACGATGGCGACTGACGAACTGATGAACATGTTCCTTCTAGATGGAGACCAGCCATCCAAAGAAAATGGTGGTCCTGAGGCGAAAAAACGACGTAAATCTGCTGCCTCAATCGGACACATCCAGCGTAACGGGAAGAGCGGTGGAATTTGGCAGAATTATGGGATGAGAGTCAATACGAACAGCAGTTTGATGTGTCGCAGTTCATTAAGGAAGCTGTATAGGTTACAAATTCCTCGAGGGGAGTAGTGTTTTGACTATAGTTGTTTACCTTTGGCGAAGTGATGTTATCCATTTTTTTTCATTTCTTAACGGTGACTGCTTGCAGTCTCTTCCAGCGTGATCACCTCTGTTAAATTGTCTATAGGGTTGTCGCTACTCTGGGATTTCACCGCGCAAGTTTTCTCCTTCCGCCCAGAAGTTCGAAAAACGAGCATATGCTACCACGGAATGTTGTAGGGTGGTGGTGCGATGTAGTTTAGGAGCCGCAGCGTCGCACAGAAACCAACCAGTAATTCTGATTAAAAGGAAGGGGGCGCAGTTCCGCAGTCCCGCGTCGGGGGTGAATTTTGCATTGTAGATAATGTTCGTGAGGTATTTCACTTCTTTACAAAAGTTAATAGGTACACTTACTGCAGTTCAAGTGTCCTTTACAGATTTTGGCTGATATCTCTTCGTGCTCAGCAAGATTTTACAGGTCAGCATTTGATGGTCGACACTTCCATGGGAAGTACCGAAGAAAATGCGAAATGCCTCCCCCCTCGTAGCGAAACTGCGCCAAAACACGTATTAGGGTGTCTCGTAAGCTCCCAAATTTTTCCAATAAAGGACTGGTAAAAAAAATAAGTCAGGGTAAGGTTCTATAACGATTTGGTAGTACTCCTTTTTGCGTCTTCGTGAAGGTCTGCCTACCAGCTGAGGATCACGCAGCTTCTCATATTCTTGCGGACTGAACCGAAGAATTTCCTATGTCACGTCCTTTATGTCATTACCATTGTTTAATGTTCACCCTCAAAGCGAGTTCAAAGAGTTAAGTTCTGACAGTTTTAGGGACATAGCTTATTATAGGATCATGGAGGAGAATATCATACCCCTATCCTCGTAAAGCAGCCTGCACTTCCTTCGTTTTGTGTCATTTTGCCTCGTAGGAGAGGTAGAATTTTTCCGAGTGCTTAGGGCTCCCCGAGAGATAGGCGCTTGTTCACGAGCAGTGGTGTTCATAGTAATAGTGCTGCCTTCAGAACGCGCAGAGGAAGCCCTGAAGAGCAAACTTCTGGTCGTTGAATTTGTTATAACGGAACTTTCTTCTTTGCTATATAATGAGCTTCACCTATAGTACCTGAAGCTACCGCTAGACGGCACTCATAGAGGGTCTGCTAATCTGCGCGCAAAAAAAATCTTTTTTTTGATGAAGCTTGATCAAGCTTGATCTCAAACAAGCTACTCATTTTTTTCTGGAAGCGTGCTCTCTGCGAAACTCTGGTAGCAGCACTTCCCGCAGACAGTGAGTCATGAGATCCTGCAGTTGCGCATTGATGATGATTCCGAAAAAAAAGAAGTGGGACACTCAGCACTTCGCCAAATCCGTTTTGAAGCCCTGTAGATAGGTTCGTCATTAAATAGGTCTGCGTGACGTCTCGATCACAGTGCGTGCGAACACTGAACGGGATCCTGTAAGTGTTGAATCCGATTATGATTTTCGAGAAAAAAAAATTTTTCCGTAAAGATATCTCCAGCAGGGTGTGGTTGTAGAAACAAACAGGAAAGGAATCGTCATCGAAGAGCCTGCAAAAGAATTAACAATAGGCTTTTGTAGCAAACAGGATAAGGGGTAGGTTAGCCAAGGAATTGGGAAACAGGATCACTTCTATCAATCTGGGGATCTTGATGAGAAAGAAAATTTTTGAAATGATTCCCCTTTAGGTTCACTCGTTAGTAACCCGAAAAAAAGGGGACGGTAAATAAAAATCGAGACCGCCTTGGGTCCGCGTTGATGCTTTGCGAGACTGAGTCTGTTGGACTACGCAGTGCTATCGAACGGCACTTGCATCTTCTTTCTCCGTGACTCAAATTGAATCGAACTTACTGATAAACTTTGGACCATTTATTTCCTTCGCTTCGAAACTTTCGAAGTTTCCTGTCGGAGAAGGTTCCTTCTAATTGCCGGCTCTATACTTCTGTTATACAGTTTTTCTCTAAGTTTGATCATTCAATACCTACTGTTCGTTTTTACGATCACTTTCCGGAACAGTTTTCTCGCAGTCAACTTGCTTGGAAATAACTACTGTTTTTGATTTAGGCAGCCTTCTGACTTCGCGACGACGCCTTGTAACGCGCTGTTGCTTTCTTGTTCGTTTTTTTATGCACTCTCAACGCCCTAGAGGTCAGTGCCGACTGATACCAGACTGCGGCTGCGTCTTCGTCTATGGCATTAGGGTGCTGTTGCAATTGTAGCGCACTACAGCGCGTCAACATGTATCATCAGGAAGTCTAAGCGCTGCCCTGACGCGTCCCTTTTAGTCTTTGCAGGCAAGCGCGGAATTATCTAGTGACGGTCTTATTCACGGGACCCTAGTTTAAGATTATGGATACCTGATTAGCCTGACTCCCCTTCGCAGCTGAGTTGCCAGATAGCACTCAGACCTTCAGAATAATCTCTTATGGTGCTCATGTGAATGTCTAGTGGCATATAGAATGCCCGAGGCTCCGCTGGCATGACAATGGTTTAATAGTGAGAATTCCGAAAGTTCATATATGCTCAGGTCTTCCTCATTCCGTTGCATCTCTTTGCATTCTTCTTTCTTATTCATATTCCTTCATGACTTATACGGGTTTTAGGATGTTCAAGTTTATGATAGAAAACGGTGTGCTAGTTTGAAGATTACTTTTCGATTGTTGGTGGTTGAATACTGATCGTCTAACGGATGTTGTTAAATTTATTGTACTGAATATAGTGCCTGAGTAAATAATCAAAAGTTTTGTTGGAGCAGCATTAATGCACAGGTTCATAGCAGGGTTTTTGGGAATCGAGTGCAGCAGAGCATTTCCGCAGACAGGAGGGCACCAAATATTGAACTATGGACTGGTGAACGTCTGAAAGACAGCTATTGTCGTGTGGAAATGCGCTTTGTCATGTGAATGGATCATCTGTTACCGAAAGAGGCACAGTTCTTCGAGCGGCAACAACAAGGAGAACTCGATTTTGTGCTTACCAGGAAAGGTCAACAGGTCAGCCTGGCCATTTACAGTGAGCTGCACACCGTTGTTCTTGGGACAGTGAACTCAAATCTACCTTCAGAATTTGCGGAACGATTCTCTGGACGGAGTTATGGAGGGTCTTATCCCCGCGTGGTCGTTTCACATGCTATCGCGAGGAAACGTGGAAGCGTCTTTACATTTATGTATGGAGTCATGCTGAAACGTGGCAGTAGAGTGCAACGGGTAGAGAGCGGGTTTCTTAGGCGAGACGTCGTAGGGTCGATTCCGGGACAGGTCGCTTTTTTTGCATTTGTCCAAGAACATAGCCGACAAAGCTTCTAACATCTCTGCTAGCCTACACTACCTTATAAGGGAACCTGCGATCAGTTTTTTTTTTCAAGTGTAGACTCATTGTGGCCTGAAGGAGTGCTTCTGCTTGTACCCCTCGTAAAACGTGTCACGAGGGTTTTTTGCTATGAAATACCATCATATTCATGTTCAGCGGTGTTAAATTACCCCAGGGACAGGTTTCTAACCGAATCTGATTTTTCGACCTCACTTGGAAAATGTGGGCTATTCCATGGGTAATTGGCAGCAGATTGGAGCACCTACTATCGATTACTGATCTCGGAATGGGATTTTCTCCCGATAGTCAAGAAAATGATGCAGACGGCACAAATAAGTAAGCCAGGTACTGTTGTTTACAAAAAGAAATGACTGAAGAGTTATTACAATTAGAGGACCAGTCTCACCAGTGTGCTAGTCATAGTATCACTGTAAGCTATCAGACAGCCATGACTATCCATGCCCTTTTTTTGAAGTTGAGCCAGAACCTCAGATTTCGCTGAGGTCTCGTCTCTAGGGGTTATTTGACCCCCTGAATACGAATATGATACCTATTTTGTGCGAGGAGCGCTGTGAGTCGCGTTACAGGTGCCAACGCTTCGGTGCCACCGCCCGCCCCGGAACAAGAAAAAACAGTAAAGAAAAACCTCTCTAACTCCACTCAGAGAATCCATCCGCAAATTTGAAGATAATTTGAGATCACCGTCTTAAGACGGCGTACAACGATATGCATTTCATTGCGAATGGCCAGGCTGACCTGTTGACCTTTCCTGGTTAGTTTATGTTGAACCGCACATCACACCTGGAGCTTCCCATTGAGACCAAGCCTTCGCACTGAGCCCTCCCACCTCTTTTTTGGATTGATTCGACCAACCTCTCCTAACGCATTATCCTTGTCTTGGAGCCCGACGAGGGAATGTATTTGGCTCCCATATTTTGATTTGCTGACCTTCCCTTTCGACCGCCACACTATTCCTCCGCCCTCCCACCCTTTCGACACCCACTATTATGTATAGTATACACTGCGAAGCATAATGATTATTCCACCATAAATCTACAAAATCCCGTCTCACACAACTCTCAAAATGCCCTCTGATAGAAAATGCGATTCGCATGTCAAGCCGAAAACTAGCCCAAAAGAATAAGTTTTTTTAGTTTTTTTGAAAATGGTCATTTTGACAATGAAGCCAAAATGATAGTTCCCGGTCGCATATTTGCCGCTGCATCTCACTTTGTTGGGTGAAACTTTCTCATAATTATGACTTTTTGCCTTTTCTAGGCTATGGCAGAGGAAAAATCAATGATCGGACTTCAGTTAGATTCAGATTATCGCAAAGAAGACTCAAGGACTCTCGAAGAAGTGAAATTGCACGGTTTCACACGTCACGCATAGAACCTCTCTCGTTTTTTGCTTCGAGATACTCTATGCCTAAACCACTTAAAGGCAGCGTCCGCGATCAACCAAAGTGAAAAACCCTCCAATGAAAACGAACGCGGAGTACGCAACCACAGCGGAAATCCCACTCTTGCGGCTCGAAATCGATTGGTTGACGAGGGCGGAGTCAACAAGGCTGAGCTGACGCCTCCTTTCCTGTTAATCCCGCCCCGACTGGTTAACAGTTATCAGTGCTTGCTAGCATTGATAAACGCTAAGTTTCTGGAGTTCCGAGGCGGCGACGTGTATTGGAGAACTCACCAAAGGTCTG